TGTACATACAGTCGTCATCCTTGCACTTGATAGGGCGTGTCGGCGAGAAGGAGCGTGCACACTGTTTGAAGCCTTCTCAGCCTTTTCGTTGAAACGCGTATGCGACAAAAAGTGATAGAAAACGAGTAACACGAAGGATATAATACAGTAATGTCACTTCCTGGTTCAACGATTGGTGCAGTACGGGTGCTTGACGACCTGCCCGCCCACGCAAGCCGCCACTGACATTGACTATTCAAGTGCAGGATGACGACTGTATGATTCCTGCCGCAGATTGTGTAAAATTCTGACTCCGATCCAGTCCCAGTTGAGCGTGGAGAAGTGAGAGAATTGAAGAGAGTGATGTGCCTGTTACGCGAGTCTCATAGAGGACAAGAAGAAAGTAGACGTACTACAACAGATATTAACATAGAAATTGAGATTTGTATTAAACCAGCCAATATTAGAATATGATTTGTTTCAAACCAGCCAATATATAACTATCTTGCAGCAAGGTGAATAAATCATATCGTGGTCGTGCATCACCGGTACTGGTACACTCATGGGATGGAGCCGGTCGAACGGGCGTCTTCTGCGCTGTCGATCTCCTGTGCGGACGTCTGCTGAAAGGTGTTCGCCAACTGGACGTCGTCGCCTCTGTTGAAATCTTCCGCCGATCAACGTAGACGGTGAGTTTGGTTTTGCAAAGCCAACCAAAGTGGGTTTGCTCGAGAAAACCATTTGATCAGGTTACGGCATTTGGGTTGGTGTAGTGCGATGTCAGTACGATCCCTGAGATCACAGTACAACTCTGTTTCCCAGCCTACCAACCATTCCAAATTTTTCCAAACTTTTGGAACCATGTGGGAGTGTTGGGCACCTGTGAGCAACTATCAGAACTGGTGCGGAGGAGGGTGAGTACGCGTCACAAGGGGGATAGCAACTGGGAACATTTCGCGCTAGGCCAAATGTGATTCCGCTCCCCCAGCGACGGAATACGCACCTGCAAGGTTTTGCTCAACGGTGCAGTACCCTGTATCTGAATAACCCTTCCTGAAACTTTAAGTCGAAACTGAAAAGTCTTCTCCAGTGTACTGTAGTCATAACCAAGACAACAGTACATATAATGGGAATTATGCAAGGTGTGCCTGAAAAGATTGTTCGGAAGCAATGTATGCTACTACATAATGTTATCTAGTGCCCGTCATATCTGCTGGTTTGACTCCGCTCTTTTCCAGGTCTCGTCAGTACCGCTGACCAGTTCAAGTTGATTTATGGTTGCGTCGCCCAAGAAGTTAACTCGTTGCTGAAAGCATTACCGCAGTGAAATCCACCAGAAACCACTTTGCATGGACAAGCCTTCCTCACGTGAGAAATCGTCGAACCGTCGTCTCCTATCATCGGCTATGATCTCTTCAATTCCGTTCAGATACATTCTACTTCTATGTCAATTCATCCTTCTGACGTTTCACACAACTCTTCGGTATGATCTCAAATGTTGTGTAGCGTGATCTGCACTTGTGTAGCCGTCTGTATCTGTATGTTCCGCGACGCTCTCGCGCCGCATATCGCCATGACTTTTCCCAGATTCCGACCCTATCATGATCTCTCCCAATGTGACATATTACGCGCGCCGTTGATTACGTGGCTATGTAATGAATCAGTGTTAATCATTCTCTCTGACCGAAAAAATTTTTAGAAAACTATGTTGGAAAAAAGCAAAACAAATCTAACTGTAGTGTGTTGGCCAGTTTGACTCCCAATGGCACAGTGATAGAAACTTCTCCGAAAATGGCAGACTGCAAGTTTCCAGTTGCACACGTAGGCGAAGACGAGCCGGTAGTTCACAAAGGGCTGAGTGTGCTCTTTCACGGTAATCTTGTGATTTACAACTCATAGGCAGTGAGCTCGAGTAATCGACGAGGCATCTAGGGTAATTGCGCTCAGCACTAAAGAATACTGCGTCCTTGAGCAAGTGTTGCGCGTCGTCCCTTCGGCGATGTCACCCTCTGAACGTCTCTACAAGACGCAACACGCCCCATCGCCCCTCCCGCCAGAATCCGCACTGCCACCAGTGACCGTACAGACCCCAATGAAATTCTTTCGTTCTTTGCAGCTCATTCTCAAAGGTCAGGACCGACAACTCCCCCATCCAGCGCGTCGTCGCTTCCCACACCCACCAGCGCGGCATGTTACGATGTTACCCCTTTTCTTCAGGGAATCACATTACCGTTCTCCCGCTTTCAATCGGCAGTTCAGCAGGAGCAGCGACGTGTCACGTACTGCGAACACGACACTTCAAGGCGATGAATAAAAACGAGTCGTAAGAAACAGTTGCCATTCTGAGTACAGTTCTCTTTAACCCAAATGTCGAACTCAATCCCCTGCAACGTTAAGCTTTCCATGAATACTCGAAGTCATCGTTTCAATATTCTTGTGCCTTACGAGGCTGTTAGGTAGAACATTTATTAAAATCGGACTAAAGTTTCGACTTAATCTTGGTCTTCAGAGGCCTGAATGTGTTTCAAGTATGAAATATGCAACCTACCCCACCAAGCACCTCGTCAACTCTAGCGGTTCCGACGTCGTGTCAGGAACCCCTCGAAAAGATGCCAGTATCGCAAGACAGTGACTCACCAGTGATTCTACCGTTTAAGCGAATAGGTCCGCTGCCGCACTAGAGCGCTGTTGGTAGAAAATTAAGAATACTACGGTTGCCTCCTTATAATGAACCAGTCGGCTCGCCGGCTAACGCCGGCGCGCCTCCTTCTGATACGGCCCGGCTGCGCCGGGCGGGCGCGGCTTCGCCGCGCGTATTTTCTTTCACATATTTCTAGACTCAACTGATATCTTTGTTCTGTGCTCCACTTTTTCCGTGTCTGAAGTACTCTTGAGCTACTTTACAGATTCTTCGTCTGACTCCGCCCACCTCGGAGCAGGCCCCGCCCACAATGTTTGTGCCCCACAATCTTCACCGGCGACCCTCTGCTGACCTTAATCCACTTTTTTCCGGTGTCTCGAGTGTTCTGAACCGCGACTTCCACAATTTTTAAAATGAATACCCTGCGATTAAGGCAAGCTCGCGCTACTGACTGGCGGCGGGTCTCAAACACTCTTTGAGGCGTGCCCTTATATTCGCCAGATATTTACATCTATGAGTTTTTTGCGACTTCCAAACACTCTCGCGAACCGGGTTACTGAATTTTGCGAGAAGCACCGCCCACCTTGAGTACGCCCCGCCCATTTTGGATGTGTCTGCCACAGTTAGTCTGGCGACTCCTTACTTAACCTTATTTCGCCTTCCCCTCTTTTAAGCTGCCGCCGTAAGGCGAATTATGAACATTTTTCTGCGAAATCCCAAACTTTCGGTGAGTGCCCCGCCCACTGTGGGCGGGCTTCCAATAGAGTCAAGTGTGCTTTTTATTTCTTGTCCGCATGCCCTGCCCATCCCACCTTGACCCGACCTCTCCAAGTCGTTCTTCAGGTCGAACCGAATTTCCGGACAGGCAAACAACTTACAACGAAAACTTGCAAACTTAAAACAAACAAACACAACGAGTCGATTTTAGGTATAGTGCGGGTGATATCAAGGAGACACACGTCGCACTCTGTCATTCTACAGTCCTCAGTGGGGTTATAAACGGTAGCAGGTCATTTGTGATGAAAGGACACTCATCTCGGTTGTTCATTCTGGGTTTTCTAGTCAATATCCAGAATGCTTTGGACGCCTTTTCTAGCTGAAAGTTCCGTCTCATTTTTCAGCACACTGCACTTTTATTTATAAGGTTGTTCCGTGAAAAGGAATGCGCGTAAAAAAATAAAAAGATATAAAAAATATACAAAATATAAAATAATAAAAATAATATATCAAAAGAAAAATAAAGAAAAATATAAAAAATATTAAAAAATTTTTTTATTATAAAAACGAAATTAAACAAGATAAATTCAAAAGACAATCTCCATTAGTATCAATGACTTGTTGTCAACATTTATGCAAAAATGGATTCCTCTTCTGAAGAACTCGACCGGCTGCGACTCAAAGAAGTTGGACACCCAGAGTTGGACCTTTTTCGCGGTTTGTGAATTTTCTCTCGGCCAGGGAGTTCTGCATCGACCGGAACAGATGGTAATCGATGGTGCCAGGTCTGATCTGTGTGGCGGATGAGGCAGGACTTTCCAGCCCAATTCCTCAATTTTTTTCTAGAGTGATTTTCGCCACATGTGGATGAGCGTTGTCGTGGATAAATTTTGTCGACGTCGTTTCGACACTTTGAAGACGCAGTGCTGGATCCATGCGGTTCAATTGGTGTTTGCAGATGTCCGCCGTAACCGTCTGACCCGATTCCGGAACTTCAAAGTACATCAAACCTTTGCTATTCCACCAAACGGAGCATCACCTTTTTGCCGCGTATATCAGGTTTCGGAGTCCGTTTTGGAGGGTCACTGGAGTCTAACCACTGTCCTTTTCTCGTTGCGTTATCGAAGCAGACCCTTTTCTCATTTGATGTAATAATAGAGTCGAAAAAACCGCTGTTCTTGGAGCGACGAAGAAGAATTCCGGCCATTGCCACTCGTGTTGCCTTGTTTGCGTCGCTCAGCTGGTGCGGCACCCGCTCTTCCCAACTTTTTTCCCCAAAAAAGCAAAGTAGACATGGACAAAAATATATCAAAAGAAGCACAATAAAAATCTCTTTCTAATAGACAAAACTGTCTCCAAAAATCTTCTATAGTAGGAGAGAAAAAAATGGACAAGTTCAAAAAATTCAACGCGCATTCCTTTCCGGACAACCTAATAAATTCACTCCCATTGTG